AAGCCCAAGTCAGGTGAGCCAGACTCTAAAATTTACTGCTTTTTTGTTGGTTGGTTGGTTTTTGTGGCATAGATGTACTCAGTGAGGGTGAATGAAATTCTTGGATGCATAAGCAGGAGGCTGTTAAATAGGAACAGGGAAGTGATATTACTTCTATATAAAACATTAGTGAAACAATTCCTGTTATACTGTCTCTATTTCTGCTACCCATACTTCAAAAAAGATGTTAGAAAACTGGAAGAGGTTAAAAAACCAGCTATAAGATGGGAAGTCTGGAAAACATGTTTTCTACTGATAGACTTAAGAAATTCAATTTATTTAGTTTACTTATGAGAAGGTGAAGGCCCCTTTATGCTGCTGGATTGCTGTAAAAGACTCAGAATCTAACTGAGAATCAACCCCAGTATTATCATACATATGGACAGTGGAAGATTTAAGGTTACATAGGAACCTGACACGGTTTCACTTTGTATATTTAATGTTCGTTTAAACTTTGTTTTTTTATGAATGTATACATACACTAATAGAGGTCATGGGACCTGTCTATGAAGGCATGTAAATTTCTTTAAAAATCAATGTAGATGTCATAAAGAAGCCACAATCAACTCAAAGTCTGCTTTTTACTGATATGCTTTTCATTAATTTTAGATGCGTAGTATTTATAAACATCTGACTTTGATAACTAATGTTTGTGTAAAGAAAACAAAATAATTGCACATGTAAATAAATGGACAGTCCAATGAATTTATTTTAAAAGAGAACTGTAGGTCAAAATTAAGAAACATGCTGAGCCAGGAAATTTGTCTTTATGAGCTAGTTAGTGGTTTCAATTTGCATGCAACAGTAAAAAAGAAAAACACAGTAACTATGATTCTTTTATTGGAGATTAGGAAAACATTACAAAGGGCTATTTTATTAATTCCACAAAACTTTAATACTTCCAGAAAACCTGGCTGAATCAGGATTATGTTTAGGAGTGTTATTCAGTTTTAGAATGTCAAAGCCATGGCACTTACTAAACTGACTAATTGCGGTAAAGGTGTTACATCCTCTTCCACAACCACACTTAATAACTTGGAAACTATGAAGATTTCCATTTGAAAATATAACTACAGTCTACTTGACTTTTGGTTCCTTCAGCTAACCATGGCTTCTGTGGAATAATTGAACTAAAATCCTATTAATAAGGAAGAGTGCATATTATGTATAGTTTAAAAGAACCTCCTTCTCAAAGCTTTTTGTCTTTTAAAGCATGAGAGATTCCTGAAATCTCAGATTTTTTTAAGTGTTGACATTTAATTTCTGTTGTCTGAAAAAGAACTTTCCAACATTTCAGATTCAATTACCTAGTAAAAGATAAATTCATAACATCTAGTGCTGAGAATATCACATGCATGAATTAAGGATAATATGTATGGGGGAGAAGAGTGTCAATATACTTTTGTCATTTTCAAGTTCTGCTCAACAATGCAAAGTTCTTAAAAATTTTAATTTCCAAATCTTTTTGGAGTTAAATTCACCCTGTTTCTCAGTTAACCACACAATGTGATGCAAACTCTGTGGTTATCCCCCAATCTGATAGCTACTTGCACACATATTTAATTTTGCTTGTGTGTGTGCAGGATTGGGGCCTAAGTAATTGACACATAGCTGATGCAGAACAGAGGGTCTTTTCTGTAGTGGGTTGACTTTTCACCCTATGAGATTGAAAGATCATTGAGAAAATGGAGTTGATATTGCAGCTATATTATACCTTTTAATCTATGTCATTTGAATGGATATGTATGCTGTTCTAAATTTTCCGTTTGGAATCATTAGCGATGTATCAAGATAATATTTCTTCTTGGTGATCTTTGCTATTGCTACCTGCCTATTCTTGAATTTTTTTTTCAAAATATTGGCTGCTTTTTCATACCTATCCTGTTGTCTTTATGCTTTCCTTTTCCATCTATATACTTCTCAAAATTTTGTTAGAGTGGATGGAAGGGAACTACAATGGCACATGATAAACTCATGAGACATCAATTTAAAATAGCTCAGAGTAATATAGTACCATAGAAGAAGACTTTGTTTTGTAATTTTTACTTCTTTTTTGACTCTTATTAGCAAGACTTCATTGGCATAGACAGAACAACAAATATTTTTGCATCCCTCTCTTCACCCTGGAAGCCCAATTGAATTTCTGGAAGATCTTTACGGGAGAGCCTCAAAAGCTTTGAAGATTTGGTTTGGCTAAGTATCCTAAAATCTTAATAACCTGCAGTTCTGCCCCACCCCCCGAAATGTTCAGAACCAGTGGGCTGTCAGAGCTGGGTTAGTAGTGATGCAAAATCTTCTTTTTCTGAGACTTCAAATCTTCCCATTTTGTGTTTGAACTGGGCCACAAATACCATAGAATAAAGCCTCCCATTCAGTATTTAATCACTAGCATTTCTGGTTCTGTAAATCAAGGAAGCATTGTCATGGGTGAAAATGAAACCTGTGTGATTGGCGAAGATTTCTGAATTTCTCAGAATCTGAAAAAAATTCATTTTGTTTAAGGTGAAGATTTGGGTTGTCTCACTCATTCCTAATGAATATGCCACCTCTTATAATGTATGATTTACAAGTCAGAGTTATATATTTTGTCCCATCTCCTAAGATTGCATGGACAATGTGTAGTCAGTTTTTTTCTTTTCTACTATTAAAAAAAAAAGTGAAGCAAAAGCCAGAGATTCACCTCATTCTAATTCTGTTTCCTTTCTCCATCCTTTCCCTATGCTTCTTCATTCAGTTGAATTTTACCTGATCCTTTACTCTTTATTGCAAGAATTGAAAGTTGAGATTCCTGTTTTTCTATCTTTCTTACTTCAGTTCTAATGAATTACAAACCCAATGCAAATTATGATCAGTCATTTTGATGTTTCAGCTACCTCTATGTTTTGCAAGCAATCATACAGTAAATAAAATATAATAAACGTTATTTATGGTACAGCAGAGTTAAGTGAAAAGTTGCCTCTATTCCAGTTATTCTTTGTAGACTCAGTGAATTAGTAAGAGGGACTCTGGAAATAGTTCATTATATCTACAATATTATAAATGCTTGACATTCATGCCAGTGCATTTTTATCTTTGCAAATAAGACCAGCAAACTAGCCTGTAATTCAGGAGACAGCTTCTAACGCTGTGCAATGAAACCCACAGCAGCTATGATTAATGGCATTAATTGCTCGTCTCATGGAGTCTAATTGAAATAAAATATATTTTAAAAGCCTGATGTCACAGACATCCTTGTTTGTGGTTTCCTTTACTTTAGAGATTTTGTGGAAGCCTGATTAGGTGTGAGCACTTGGGAGATGCACTTGTTTTGAGTAGTTTATGCAGCTGATTAGGGAAAGGATCAGTGTTCCATTATTGCCTATCCATATAGAGTAAAGCCTGTTTTGGTGCAGTCTCATGATGAATTCTTTATTTTTAGTATCTTATATAAAAACCTGTAATGAAATGTAAAATAATATTTCAAAGGTTATTTTAATGGCACTGATGATCAATGATCTCCAATCAAGCAGATATTTGGACAATGATTATAGCCTCGTTTTTTTGGAGGGTGGGGGTTATACAAAAACATTAGCAAGGCAATGCAGATTAAGGTTTTGCAGGATTTGGGTTGTATTGGGCTGTTTTGTGTTGGAGGCGGGTTTTTGATCAATCTGTTCTGCAAACTGGAACAAAGCTGGGAAGAAGGATGGTCCAGTGGTTAGGACTGTAACCTCTGTCTAGAGTAAGTGGAATTCGCTCCCTGATGGGCTTCCATTGTGACCTTGAGAAAATCTTTGGTCTGATCCAATATGGCTGTTTTTATGATAGTCACTTGCACTGTCTGTGCCTTGTTTCTCCGACTGCAAAATGGAAATAATTGTGGTTTCTGACCTCACAGGGGAATATGAAAATAGATACATTAAAACACAGTGAGTTGCTTAGATACAGTGACCATTGGCGTAATAAAAATGCCTATGAGCTTGTTGGCACAGCAGTGAATGCTGGAAAGGCGTGATTTCTAAAGCACATCAATATGTTGTGTGTTAACTGGCCTCCTAACAAACAGTCCTATGTTAATGAGCAGTAGGAAACTTTTAGTTCACTCCAGGGTCTACATGGTCCAGTTAGTGCACAACATGCTGGTGTGCATTACAAATTCTACACTTTAGTACACACTGCCATGCTATGTAGACAAGCTCTAAGACAGATAAATTCCAGCTTCATTTCCCTAAGCTATATTGTCTAAAAGGAGGTAAAGATTCATCTTACTCACTAATGGAAGCAGAAGTGAAATGGCCAGAGCTGTGAAGTATAGACACTATCTCTCTCCAAGTTTGGGGATGTTCAACTCAGAAGTTTGTTTCTGACCCATCTCTAAGGAAAAAAAATTTTTTCAAAAGTGTTTAGTTTTGGCCTTACACTGTTTAGGGATGTGAACAACTAGTCGACTATCCAATAAGCAAATGCTTATCAGATAGTTGACAGGCTAGTCGACTAGTTGCTTCCCCCCCACTTGCTGCCTCTATCAGAAAGAGGCAGCAAAGGTGGGGAAGAGGCAGGGCTGCTTCAAAGTGGCATGCTTCACCCGTTGGTCCTGTTCTCCCCGCAGCGCTTTCGCCTTTGAAAAGTAGCAACAACCTGGGGCCTATTGCTACACTTCAAAGGCAGAAGTGCCCTTATCGACTAATCAAATAGTTGATACAAATTGCACTATTTGATTAGGGAAATAATTGAAATTTTACATCCCTAACAATGTTCCTATTTAAATCTATGGAAAAAAAATCAACTGACTTCACTGGAGGAAGATAATTCAATATTGAGGGCTTTGGAAAATCCCTCTCAGTGAATTTTGAGACAAATGCTTAATTTAAGTGACTGAATATTTTTAAATTATAAAGTAAAAAATTCTGTTGGATGTTAAAAGATGAAGGCAATCAAATGTGGGTGGTTTTTTTTTATTCTTATCCTTATCCCTTTTACAGTTTGAGGGCTGCAAGAAGGCCTTTTCCAGGTTAGAAAATCTCAAGATTCATTTACGGAGCCACACAGGAGAAAAGCCCTACCTTTGTCAGCATCCAGGTTGTCAGAAAGCATTCAGTAACTCCAGCGATCGAGCCAAGCATCAGAGGACACACTTGGACACTGTAAGAAATAAAAGATCTCAAATTTGATTTCTTGTTAACCTGTTAAATCCCTTTCCTCTTAGCTAATTGCAGCAAATACTGTATATAAGTAGAGATGGGAGGATGGGAAGAGATGTCAGTTTAATATAGTTTGATCTGTAACAGAGATGTTATAGTTCAGGGGTGGTCAACCTGGCTCTTGAGCCACATGTGGATTTTTTACCATTCAAGTGCAGCTCATAAGCCCCGATCCCCTCCCCATTCTCTGCCTACCACACTGGGGACAGTGCTTGGAACCTCTGCCTTGCAGTGGGGTGGAGAGGTAGGAATTTGAGACTGACTCCTGGCAGGTGTGTTCCAGATCTTGAGCTTCTGAATATTTTTGAATGTGGCTCCGAGGGCCAGTAAGTTTGGCCACCCCCGACATAGTCTCTGTCAGGAGACTTTCCAAGTTGTATTCTGTTTTCCCCGTTTACTTTGTATATAATAACACTGGGGCTGACTGGAACGGAAACAGACTGCTGGCCTATATGTTCTGAGGAGACTCTAGTTACTTACTGAGATATATACAAGTAAGTAGTGGAGATGGACCAAAGTTGCAAAATTCAGATTGGGATCCAGATTTTGAATGCTAAAAAATTCTGTAATGTTGGAAACAGGTTTTAGTCCTGCCCACTATCAAGGTAATGGACCATTTTGGAATTTAGATCCAGGTTTGATTCTGGAATTTGGAGATTTTCAGGTGTGAGGTTCTGGATCAGGTCTATGTCCTGTCAGGGCAATTTCAAGTTGGAGATAAGGCATAAATGTCTGGGCCATAACAGAATGGTCTGATCAGCATATTAGCCTGTGCTTATAAAGATACCATAGTTGGGTGACTAGATGTCCCGATTTTATAGGACAGTCCGACATTCGGGGATTTGCCTTTTGTAGATGCCTATTACTTCCTGGTGCCTTTCCAACATTTCATACTTGCAATCTGGTCACAGAATACATTTAAAAAAAATTCAGATTGGAGCAAATTTCCCAGAATACATTTTAAAAAAATTCATATTGGAGCAAATTTCTGGAAAATCAAAATATATCTTCCACAAGAATATATCAAAAACCACAGAAAACAGGAAGGGCAAAAATCCTGTCTGTTTTAACCATACTACTTGTTTAACTTTAGCAGAACTATTCACTTGGGCAAGCCAAGCATTGATCATATCTCTTATTACTGGTATATTAATGGTCAATGCAAATGTAGCATGCTACCTTTTAAAAAATTGAATGTTTTAAGTGATTGACTTAGGGCCTGATTCAAAGTCCAGTTAAATCAACAGGAATCTTTCTATTGACTCCACTGGGTTCTGAATCTGCCCCTTCATGGTTACTAAGTGCTATCAAGTTCTGCTCTATTTTAATACACAGAAGTATTCATTATATACTATTGCAGGTTCTGTAGATAAGAAGTTATTCCAGGTCACAATGTATAATTAACATGCAATGAGAAGCTGCTGAGAACATTACCAGAGACTAGCAGAACATTCTGCTAGATTCAGTGTTAGAAAACCAAATATTGTCTCATTTAGTGAATAGAGAGTTTTAAACCTTCTTTCATCAGACCTTCAGTTCAACAGATGTAGGAAGAAGAATGGCTGGAGAGGACCATTTCAAAGTAGCCTTCCCTCTGAAATGCTTTCTTTGGAAGGGAACAATTCTTCTCAGTAGAATTGGTAGAAAGGGATTTTTTTTTTCACTTCAATTTCTAAAAAGCCAATTAGAATGCTGAGTAGGAAAAATAAATATCTAAGACATGGTGCCTCAAGATAATAAATAGAATAAATGTGTTGCCTTAAATAAAGAGATAAATATATGTACATAAACCAGACAGGTAGTTAGGAGTGCTGCAGCTGCACAACATGCCCATGATTGAGGGAGTAAATTACCCCCCCCCCCACACACACACACACAGAGACACATACTTCCACTATCCTCAAGGCTCCAATAATCACTCTGAGAAAACAAAATAAACATATAACATACAGCTATCACTAGAAAAAAAATGACTATGGTAAGGTTAAGGTTGAGAGTACATATCAGGAAGTTCAATTAAAATAAAAATATATGCAACCAAAATATTGTTTGTGAATTATGGGGGTTTAGCCAATATTTATTTAACACACAAAATTTGTTTCACGACAAAATAAAATTTAGTTTTAAGTAGAAGCATAGTTTTCCAAAGGGCTTGCCATTAGGAACCAAGAAATAATACCATGTGACTTAGCTGACTGGTTGCACAACTTAAATAGCAAATTTCAAATAATGAATAGTGAACAGAATGGTCAGTACAGACAGTTCACACTTTCATAAAAAAGGTGATAGGTTTGTATCTATATATTTTGTGAATGAAGTAGAGAGGTAAATTTATCAAATAACTGTTTGCGACAAGTAGTTGGACTAATTCTAATTTGTCATATTATTGACATTCCATACTGTAGTGCAACTACAATTCTGGAAATAGCTCAAGGGGTATAAGAGAGCAGGCAAGTTAAAGCAAGCAGATATGACTTTTAGTGAATCTAAAAAACCAAACTTACCTGGACGTTTCAGGACTATATTTGTTGGCAATATTCCCTGTTTGTGATTGGCAATTAAGAGAGGAAGAAATGTGCCTTGTCCTTTACATAAATATACTTATTCTTTTCACATTCCTTTTTACAGCACTGCCTTCAGTGTTTTAGAATTGTAATGTTTAAAGGTTGCTTTGTTGCTGTTTCCACTCGTTGTCATGTAGCAGACTAACCTTTTCTCTTACTTTCTGTCTTTCTGAAGCAGGTTTCCTCTCTAACTCTTAAGCAGTCTGTCCAGGACTTTACTGCAGTTTCTTTACCTGGCTTACTAAAGAATAATGTAATTTCTGACTAAGTCAAAGATTGCTGGGAGGGTGCCATAATTGTAAGTACAACTGAAGATACTCATTCATAATGATAAAAATAATGATGAGGTAAAAGGAAATACGGCATGCTAAAACTAAAAATAGGCATTTACATTTCAGTAAAGATTCATTTACTTTTTCTTGCTTGCAAGCCTTCTTTTCCCTTTTGCCATGCCATTAAACTACAGGTTGTGAACCTCTCTAATCCGGCACTCTCTGGGTGTGTCTAGACTACAGGGTTTTGTCGACAAAAGTGGCCTTTTGTTGACAAAACTTATACCTGTGTCTACACTGCCGCCGAGTTCTGTTGACATAATGTCGACAAAACTCAGCAGTTTTGTCAATGGCGGCAAACCTCATTCTACGAGGAATAATACCTTTTGTCGACAGAGTTCTGTCGACAGAAGACGTTATTGCATCTACACTGTCCTTTGTGTCTACACTCTCATGTTGATAAAGCGGCTTGCTTTGTCGACAGAACTGGATGTAGTCTAGATGCTCTTTGTTGACAGAAGCTTTGTCGACAGTATCTGTCGACAAAGTCTCTGTCGACAAAAGCCTGTAGTCTAGACGTACCCTCTGGTCCAGCAACATCTGTGGTCCAGCATGATTTTAGTTATCTGGATGTCCACTTATCATGTGGCCAAGTTTGCCGCAGTCCCATAACATTTGTTTATGTCACTAGTCCTGATGCTCAGTGTTCTATGCTATTATTTAGATCTAATGTACCTCTAAATATCTTCTAAAAGCCCAGGAAGCAGTGGAAGCATTGATAATGCAGCTAGACAATATTGACCTCCCGTGTTTCAGCAAATTCTCTGGTTTGGTACTGGTCAGGTCCCGAAGATGCTGGACTAGAGAGGGTCAGTGTGTACTGGGCATTCTATCTGTGTACTGTTTGGTGTAGCCTATCAATTGCAATGAGTATCAAGGCTTTAGAAGAATTTTTCTCAGTTAAAATAATCAGTGGCTTAACTGATTTTTCTTTGTGCTTTTTTTGGCTTGTTTTTGTTTTAGAAACCGTATGCATGTCAGATTCCAGGATGTACCAAACGATACACAGACCCGAGTTCTCTGAGAAAGCATGTAAAGGCACATTCTTCCAAAGACCAACAGGCCAGGAAAAAGGTAACTCTTCTAGAAGAATGTTCTGCATAGGAATTACATAGTGAAGGTAATGTTATAATACTTTGTGGAACACCATTTGGGAAACACTGGCATAGATGATACTTTCAGTTTGGGCTCAGTAAGGCTGATTGTTTTACTAGAAGTCCAGTGAAGATTATCATCTTTGGAGTAATGGTTAACCATAATAAATACACATAACTCAGCATATGGAAAAATAATGTTGAGAAGGGAGATTTTATTTGTAAAATTCTTTCATCATGTAAATATATTGTGATGCAACATCCAGTTCACACTGCCAACATGAACTAAATAGATGTAGGTTGAGGATTGATGGCTGGTAGATCAAACTGAACTGTATAGAAACATTAATTATATTTCCATAAATCCCAGCCATTTTCAAACATCAAACTAGTTCACAATGTTGAGTCCCAGGCATGACTGGATTATCCAATAAGCAGACTAAGCACGTGCTTAGGACACCAGCAAAGCAGGGGCACCAAAAAAAAGATTTTTTTTGAAAAAATTTGATATTTCAAAAAAAGCATTGAAACTGTCATTGTGGGAAAAGTCAGAACTCCGCAGAACACCTTTTTTCTCAGCTGAAAAGAATATAAAACCCTCAGAGAACAACAATGTGTCAGGACAGACTCGATTCACTTTCCCTATTGTGTATGGAAGCGGATGTGCTTCGTCAAGTCAGCTTCGATGAACGTATCCAGAATTTTGCAATCAGAAAATCTAGAAACAAGCTATTTTAATTTCAGAAGACATGTCAGTTTTGTGTCATTTCGAAAAATACAATTTTATTTTATGGTATAGTATTGTTTTTATTTTGAATTACATTTGGGGGGCACCATAATCTTTTCAGTGCTTAGGGCCTCTAAAAGTCTTAATCCGGCCCTGGTCCCAGGTATCAGTCCCAGGAGAAAAAAGTTAGCGAAGGACAGGAGCTGCTCTTTCGCCCCACATCTCAAGCCCATTTTTACTCTAAATCATGTTCTGCTGTTTTAGACCAATGAGGATAAGTGCAATGCTATCATTTAAAAAACTGACAATGATGGAGACAAAATAGAATAACGTTGGGAGAGTTAAAACCCCAGAGTCATAACCCCTCAGGAAGGGGCTATATTTAACTCGGGTAACAGCTCAAGATTTGCCCTGACAACAATTTTTGTTTAGATGGTGCCTGAAACACTGAAGTATAGGGCTAAATGTAGGGCTAGACTCTGATTTAACTGTTTGCCCTGAGCAAGGAGTAGTATGCAGATGTACTGCTCCAAGGGACCATGGAATTAATTTTAGCTCTTGAGAATTATAGTTAACTTCTTAATTCCTCCTTGTGTTAGGGGAAAAGTGATCTACTTGTGGTCATTACTGTGCTGCCTGGCACCCTGACCCATCCCTACCAGTCCTCTCTAGGGATGCAAGTGACTAGTCAACTCTCTGATAAGCATAAGCTTATCAGACAATCGAGTAGTGACTTGACTAGTTGCTTCACCCCTCCCTTGCTGCCTTGCAGCAAGGTGAGGGGACAGGAACTGGTGCTGGGGTGACCCATCTTAAAAGCTGGTTCCCCCCAGCATTGGCTCTGTAGGGGACAGGGAAGGCAGAGGCACAGCGGGGAAATGGCACGAGTGAAGACTAAAGCAGTTCCTGCTTACACCAGTTCACACTGTGGGTGCTTCAGCCTTTAAAATGTTGCAAGAGCCCTGTGGGGCTTTTGCTACATTTCAAAAGCAGAAGTGCCTCAGTGGGAACATGGGGTGAGCAGGGACTGCTTGAGTCCCCACTCACCCCATGCTCCCTGCGGCACCCCCTCCCTTGCTGCCTCGATGAGAGGTAGCAAGGGGCGGTGGAACATGAGCTGGTGCTGGGGGGAGCCGGCTTAAAAGCCATTTCCCCACAGTACCATCTTCGGGCTGCCTCCTGCTTCTCCCCCCCCCCCCCGCCCCCCCTGCCTCTATCAGAGGCAGCATGGAGGGGGGATAGGGAAGGCTGCTGCAAAGCAGATCCTGTCTGCAGGGGTCTCAACAGGAAGCGCCCCCCACTTTCCCCCAGCAGACAGGCTGCTGCCACCAAGCAGCCCCTGTTCACAGTGGCCAGGGCTGGGGAGCAGCCCCTGTCCACAGCCAGCCCTGACGACCGTGAACAGAGGCTGCTCCAGCACCAACCCTGTTCACAACAGTCAGAGGCTGCTGAAGAAACAGTCCTTGCCCATGGCCAGCTCTGGCCGCCACGCACAGAGGCTGCTGAACTCAGAGTGAGCTGGGATCAAGCAGTCTCGGCTCACACAGATGTTGCACCTCTGCATTTTAAATGTAGTAAGAGCCCCATGGCTCTTACTACATTTAAAATGCAGAGCCATAACATGGGTGGCTCCCGGAGCTACCTCCGCTGTGGCTCTGCAGAGCGGTCTTATTGACTAATGGTATAGTCGATACAAATTGGATTGACTATACGATTAGGTAGGTAACTACAATTTAACATCCTTAGTCCTCTCCTTGCTCATGTGTGAAGGAGGGCGAATGTGGTCCTGTGCATATTGGTCTACTGATTGTATTGTGAGCCATAGGGCACATAGCAAAGGGATGTCACACACCCTCCCAATTTACTCCCCTCTGTAGCATGTAAGGCAAGCAGTGGTCCTCCCTTAATGTTCTGTCAAATTTACATAAGACACATGAAATAAATTTTGGATAATGTATCTGAATAAAGGGCATTAAACACTTAGGTAACATTATCATAATTGAACGTAAAATAATATGGTATTCTCTGTAAGTAATTGTGTAAAATTGCAGGCGTGTGTGTCAGGGGGAGGGGTTCTATTGTTAGGGTGACATTTCCCATATATTTTTGTTCATTTTCTAGTCCCCTGTTATAAAGTTTAAAGTAGTCCCTTTTAAATCCTCACATGGTCATTTTTTTTAGAATGAAACTTACAGTTGTTTAGTTTTAGTTTAGCATCCAGTCCATTTGATAAGGATTTATTTAGCTGATATGGGTTAATATGTGAAAGTGGAAATAAGGCAACCTAGTTAAAAAAAAAAAAAAAGGAAGAAATGTGGCATCAATCAAGCCAAGTGTTTAAAAGCATGCACTGAGGTTGCAGTGTATAATATTTACAAGGTACAGCATAGTTACTGGCCCTTTGAGAACTTATAATTGCTAACTCACATCATGCTTTGGTATTTGAAATATTTCCTGGCAGTAATAATAATAATAATAAAAAGTAAGAAACAATAAACCTTTTAAGGCAGAATTAAGATTATTTACGACTTTAATTAAAAATGAAAATTGGCTTAATGTCAAAAAAGCCTTTACAAAAAATGTGAATTCATCAAAAATAACCATAAAAATTCCAAGGTGATAAAGGCACAGTGGAGTAATAGTTCCAGCCCTAGGGAACAGTTCTGTTGAAAAGAATGAAACCCTTTGCTGTCACACCCTGTTAGTCATGGATTCATTTAATATATCCTGCCTGACTGCCTCTAATCCTCATTTTAACCTCCCCCTACACACTAAATGACATTATTTTGGTGTCTTAAGTTGCTAGCTCTCCAAGACTGTACACTAAAATATGTTCTTGATGTTACACAGATTTTAAATAGCAGGGGAAATGTATTAGTGGCAACGGAGTTGCCCTGGAACAAACTAGTGTACTCATCATGTCAGTTTGAGGTTACACTTACTCTTCCACACAACTTTTTATGATCCATCCTCAAAGCTCCTCGCCCCCCCCCCCTCTGCTGTGTAATGTAGACTAGAGATGTTGCAGTGAAAATCAAAATATATGTATGCAATAACTTTCCACTGATGTCATTTTGTGCCCCATGGTGCATGGCAAAGTGCCTGATTCTGCAGTTCTTTTGCATGCAACACCCCTACTGATGTCAATGGAAGTCTTTTCTATTAAGGGAATTAATTCCGGGCCCCATTGAAGTCAGTGGCAAAACTATGAATAATGTATGCTTTTCAACAAATCTTAGCAAGAGTTTGTTAAATACAATATTGAAAACATTGCAAATAAAATCCAAAACTTTAGCTTTATCTAGTTTTTCCATCTTGAGAAATTCCTAAGGAATTCCCCACATGGCATCAGATAGAGTGGGGATGGGAGGGGAATGCGTACAGTCCTGCGTGCATAAAAAAATTGGTATCTGCACCCAAAAAATGAGCCATGAATATTTGCATCCCATGTCTGCAGATGCGGATACCCATGGCTATAAAGCAGATATTCACATATTGGCAGGACTTAACCCTCACTGGGGAGCAAGGTCAGAGCAGTCCTACAGTGGAGCGTGTCCTGCACTCTGCCCCACTCCCAGGAGGTTAACGGAGAGCGGGGTTTGGGCACTCCTGCCAGGGAGCATCGCTGGGCAGTGGGTGTTTGTCCCACTCTGCCCCGCCAGGTGCTCCTAATGGGGACTGGACAAGCACCCATGTCCTGACCATGCTTCACACCAGGAGTGCCCAAACCCCGCTCCCCAGTGAGTGCCAGGGAACAGAGTGCAGGACAAGCTCTGCTGCAGGAATGTGTCTGGGGCACAGGTGCTTGTCTTGCTCTGCCCTGCCAGCTTCTCCCATAGTGGAGCTTGTCCCGCGCTCTGCCCTGTTCCTTGGCTCTTACCAGGAAGTGGGCTCGGTGCACTGCTGGTGAGGAGTGTGGCCAGGTCAAGGTGCATGTCCTGCGACACCTTGCCTAGCACATATGGAGGAGTGAGGTCAGGGTGCGCCTAGTGAGGGGCATGGCCAGGGTGCAGGTGCTCGTCCTGCTCTGCCTTGTTCACTAGTTGGGGTGCTCCTAGTGAGGACTGTGGTCAGAGCATGGGTGCTTGTCCCACGCCCAGTTAGGAGCACCTGAAGGGGCAGAGTGGGATAACACCTGCGCCCCGGCCAGGCTGCTCGCTGGGAGCACTCCGACCTCACTAAGGGTGTGTCTAGACTACATGCCTCCTTCGACGGAGGCATGTAGATTAGCCAGATCGGAAGGGGGAAATGAA